AATACCTGTTCCCAAGAGAAGATAACTCTGCAATACGCAAAGACGCAATAAAGTGCTCGTACCTTCCCTTCATTTCGTTTTAAATATACCCGTGGCGCGACTGGACCTACCGGTGAAAAGGTTTCTCAGCTACTTAGAACGACAGTCACTAGATCACACGTCCGGCCCGGTGGCATTTTAACGCTTAGATTAAAATTGCTATTGATTTCTTGTTTTGTTTAGCCCATCTTTATTATTTTACTTGTAAAGTGCTGGGAGGTGTTTTTTTGATACTTTTTCCATTGCTATAGCCATGCCGGGAAGAAAGTTCCTAATGTGTAATCCCTTTTTTGGCAGTGGCACACTGTACGTGGATTCTTAATTAACATTTAAAATTAGATTTAGAAGTTAAAAAGTTTAAATATTCTTTTTCCATTCATGAACATCTCCAGTATTATTATTTAAAAAGTATATTGCTTCCTCATTTTGATGCCAGGGTTCATTTGCAAGTTGTATATTAAATTATATAGAATATTTTCATCCAAAGATACAAAGACAATGAAGGCTTGAGTAAGGAATCACATGCATTATCTTCCCTGCTACTTTATTTGCTGTAATGTTGACTGAACAATTGATTAAAGGTTTTTTTTCTCACTTTAAGACAATATCCAGTTGAAAATACATTTCGTGTCGAAAACAATTGAAGCAAGTGATCATTCTTTTTATCATAAATGCAATTTTAACAAACCAAAACCATGGTATATTTGATGGTATATTTGATGGATATTTGATGGTATATTAGATGGTATATTTGATGATATATTTGATGATATATTTCAGATCGTCATCGGGGAGTCTAAGGCAAGTTCACCTTTCGATCCATCAGTTTTAGCACTTCAACATTTTGATCATTTGAAGGACATACCGATAAACTTGAGGGAGAATTTCATGAAAGAATCACTGACGTTCCTGTTCATCCGTGACCCGTACAGTCGTCTATTTTCAGGATACGTTGACAAGCTTTTTTCACCTAATTATGTTTTCTGGAAGGTGTACGGAAAGTTTGGGATAGAACATGTCCGCACAAATCGCAGTAGAAATGATCTCATATGCGGTCATGATCTCAGTTTCAGAGAATTTGTAAAAACAGTTATTTATGCAGAAAAATATAATACACATAGAGACGGCCATTTTACAGCACAATATGAACATTGCGATCCATGTAAGTATAAGTATGACGTCATCGGTAAACTTGAAACCCTCGCGCAAGATACGTTTTACCTTTTAAAGAAAATGGGAAAATTTGCATTAATGAAATCGGTCATGAACAGATTTCATGAAAACACATTAGAAGATACTATTAGAGACCAGGTAGATATGCTATTCAGATTTAGGTCTAATTATCCTCTTTGTGAAGTCGCATTCTACGAAGCTCAAAAATTAATGTGGAAAAAGTTTCAAATTCGTGGAATATTGAGTAAACACTCGACATATCCAGTTGCTAAAGAGGAGAGTGAAAGAATTACAAAGAGAGATTTTACACGTATGTTGTACTTAGGCAGAGGAGACGCTGTGGATAGGAATATATCTAAGAAGAACAAGGAAGAAGCTGTGCTTGAGGCATTTTCAACGGTAGATAAAGAAGATATGGAGTTATTGAGTGAACTGTTCCGTCCTGACTGCGAACTGTTTGGTTATGATTGTAGGCCTGCTAAGTTATTCAAAATAAGGGAGGTTATCAAACCGTGGTATTTTGATAGCAGCACAGCATAAAACATGGTAAAACAATTTTACATTTGTCGTATATTTTTTATTTATTAGAAGCAGTTTTATGTGTGCTTTAGTTTAACTACCGTTTCGATACTTTATTGAGTTTTGATATATTTTGTAGCATGATAATGTTAAGTATATGAAAACTGTATTTGATTTGAATTTGGTAAATCAATCATGCATTCCTGTGTTTGTTTTAAAGTAAGCACTCCGTTATAGAATCAATGTTGTCATCACTTATCGGATGAAAGTTAAAACGATAGTACCACTGGTGCAGATTATGTAGCATAAAAACTAATATAGAAACTGACTTTGTCTCTTAAACGTCTCAAAACTTAACAAAAATATTGTTGGACCCATTTTCTTCCGTGCATCATGGATTGCTGAAAATATTTACTCCATAAAGAAATAGGAATTGAAAGTGTTCTGACATTAAATCCAGTCTATAAAACACAGAGTCGGTAACGTTGCATACAGAGATCGATATATCCGCCTCTCCTGTAGTGCTGTGAGGTTCCAGCTAAATTATGCGCTGGACCGTAAGCGTTTATGCCAAGGGAAGGTAACTCGTGCTTTGTGTTTATCTGTAATGCTGTCTCCAATACATGGTCGCTGTTTGTAAATGCGCAATCACTGGATTTACCTCCCTTGCAGCACTGACTTACATCATCATGCTAATGTTGAAATCATACATCCGTGACGATGCTAACTGGTAAAAACTTGTGAATATTAAAAGTGTCACTGAAAGTGATACAATGGACATATTTCGATATTTTGACATGGTTGCAGGAAACATGATTTCCAAATATGTCAGTTTATACATGATGCAAAAAAACGTAAATAAAGATTATCGTATATATTTCAATAGATAATTTCCGGGCTCTATGCTTGACTAAGAAAAAGAACAATACAACAAAGTGGATTGTCCTAACATCAAACACCAACCAGTCACGCTATCCTGTCTTCAGGCTAGATAGATTCCAGTGTTCTTTTAAATTCCGGTCTTATTTTTGAGGATGGTTATTTCTTGACCTCTTCCTTATAAAACAACATAACTGGTTGCTACCATGGTCACCGAAAAAATATAGAGTCACTCATTGGTTTTATCAAGCGCTTTAATTTGTTTTTATGAATTGACCAAAGATATATCAATTCATTCGGCAACTATTTCTTTGCTACTACTGGGTTGGTATTGTTTCTTTCTGATCATGGCCTTGGCATGAGCAACCGTTTCTGGAAGATTTGCGTTCTGTGTTTCTGGAAGACTCAATGTCAATAAGGCTGCAATAAGAGATAGAAATCCAAACACGAAAAGGGGGACTGCATGTCCTATCCGCCCAGGAACCACCGTGGCCTGTTTACAAACAAAAACGAAATGCATTGTCATTAATTACAGCAGGTAAAACTGGTTTTACATATCAAAGAAAACAACAATTTCAATATGAAACATTTTATTTATTACTTAATGTATATTTCCTTAAAATATTCAAAACTAATAGCGCTACATTTGATTGTGACACAATGAAAGACTTTCATGTATAGATTATGCTTTTTTACTTCAATAAACCTTAATAAAAACGTACCAATCTTGCAACACCTGGGGCCGCCATATATCCCATGTTTCCCAAGGACGTACTTATCCCCATGCCAGTGTTTCGGACCACAGTCGGGAAAAGCTCCGCCGACCACACGTAGATAACACTGAAGCCTACCGCCATTCCCGTTTTCCCTATCATTGCCAACACAATTGGAACCAATTCAAAATCTGAAAATGGAAAAGTGGTGTTTATTGAAAACCCAATAAAAAATGGATACTAAAACTGATTTGTTGCGAAACCCATTTTAAGTCACAATAAATATGGGACCTGACGTGATAATATACTTCATATATTTCCATATCAATTGATCAATGAATATGCATTTTGCCGCCAGTCTATCATATGTTCAGTTTGAAATTTAAACATTTTCTACCAAGTTTTATTTCGAACATTAATACTTCTTGTAAGGACGGGTGTTTATGATAAATATACATGTTGTAGTACTGACAATTGTTTAGATGTCAATGCATCTTGTAGTATAGAAGGAGTGCTTAGCTGTAGTACATAGACCTTTCAGAGCAAGGGCTGGGCCCGCATTCATAAAACCATTTTTCATGCTCAATTCAAAAACTCAGGTTTTGTGCTGATGTCTAATTTGTTGTTTCATTGTTTTAGAAAAAAAACCTTTTTGACGTGATCTGGGAGAATTTCAGAGATACTTTAAGTCATTTTAATGTTTATACTAGACGTTTTGAGTGTGTCACATGATTTTAGTGACTTACAAGAAAGTTTGCTTTTAGCACTCTAAGCGCTTGAGTACGAGAACGAGAACGATTTCATGAATACGGGTCCTCGTGTTTCCTTGTAATATTTTCAGTTATAATGTAAATACATTCGGAAGTGAGAACGAAACCTAATTTGTGATGTTATTGAATCTTGTAGCAATGATTAGTATTTACTTGTAATATACATACAAATAGTGGCGTGAACAAACGTTTAGTAACACTGTTTTTTACATACTTACTAATAAATACGGGTTTTTTGTATATGCGA